ATATATATAAAATAGTAAACTATTTAAATCTATTTGCAACAGGTGGTGATTCACAAGATGAATCCACATGCAAAACAGGAAACGTGTCAACATTTGATCCAACTGGTTAGCTATATACATAGTAGTATTTTACCACTTAAAGCAATAATTTATTCGTTTACTCAGTGATTTTACATATGTTGTTTTATAGAACATCAACATATACGATATAACCCACTGAAAGGAGAATGGGTATTAGTATCACCACATCGTATGAAACGGCCATGGAAAGGACAAATAGAACCTAGTACAGACGAAGAACTTCCAGATTATGATCCCAACAATCCTCTTTGTCCAGGAAACATCAGAGCTAATGGAGATGTCAGTCGATTGCATTTATTATAGTGACTCAAAGTATTTGATTATGATTGAAACATTTAATATAAAGCTTCGTTCGAGGATTACACCCGAATTAATTTTTGGAGGCCCGATTTAGTTCGCTGATCAACCGACAAACTTGGTTTCAATGATCGGCCCGGAAAAAATCCTAGGTGTTGAGCGGATTCGATTTCGGGACCTCCGGGTTCGCAGCCCCTGCACTCAGGGCGCGAGATCACTAGGCCGGTCATTGAAACATTTAATATAATACTGTAAATTATATATTATTATTATTATTGTTTGTTACAGGTAACTCCTCTATATCAAAATACATTTTCTTTCGTAAACGATTTTCCTGCCTTGTTAGAGTCGGTGCCGAGCCCACCGAAAATGGATGATGAATTATTCCAAATGGGATCCGCCAAAGGTACTTGCAAAGTAATGTGTTTTCATCCCAAGTCAAATGTAACACTAGCATTGATGAAGATTCACGAAATAAAAGAGGTGATAAAACGGTGAGACACACTTTTGGATACACTAGATACTCATCATTTTTTAGGAAGTATGAACATAGCAAAATTACAATAGGTGGATTTTCGAGATGCTGGAATTGGGTGATAAATGGACTTGGGTTCAGATATTTGAGAATAGAGGTGCTTTGATGGGCTGTAGCAATGCACATCCTCATTGTCAGATTTGGGCCAGTTCGTTTTTACCAAATGAAGCTAGAATCAAGGACAAATATCTTCGGGATTATTACGAACGCAACAAGAAACCTCTTCTCATTGATTACATGCAGAAAGAAATATTGAAAAAGGTTTTTATTATTGTGTGACGAAATATGAGCACAATTCATTAAACATGTTTTTTATCAAATGTAAAACTGAGGTATATATTGTAAAACATGAAAGTTTAATGAATTCGTAATGTAGATATTAATTAAATTAAACCTACATTGTTTTTTTTTTTAATTTCTAGGATCGAATTGTGATTGAGAATCGTGACTGGATAGTCGTAGTACCATTTTGGGCAGTTTGGCCATTCGAGACTATGGTTTTGCCGAAAAAGCAAGTAACCAGGATGCACGACTTATCGGATGATCAACAAGAATCTCTATCTGTTATCATTAAGAGACTATGCACCAAATATGATAATCTCTTTCAATGTTCTTTTCCATACTCCATGGGGTGGCACGGTGAGTGTGTGATATTACAAAATAACATATTTTTCATCATTATCTTGTAATTAATCTGTAATTACAGGTGCTCCAACTGGTGAATATCTCAATAATTATTATCCATATTGGACTTTTCACGGAATATATCTGCCACCTTTATTACGATCTGCTACTATTAAGAAACATATGGTTGGCTATGAGCTTCTAGCACAGGCACAGAGAGATCTAACGCCGGAACAAGCGGCAGAAAGATTAAGAAATTTGCCGGATTCTCACTACAAACGCCCGGAAACTAGTCTAAGTGCCGAAGAAATAGAAAAATACTCGAAATAATATATACGTACACATGTGATATACATAAAATGGAATGATCATATATTTTCTTGAAATTTATCATATAAAATTCTATTTACAAAAATTTCACCAAATTTTGGTTCATCATATTTTTTCATTTCGGTTACCGTATCTTTTTATCAATATTATCCTCAGAAACATGATCACAAAACACTTCATACTTCTCTAATATTTCGGAAATCTTGCATCAATTTTGTTGCTCCAAGCATAAATGCCTCCAATTATATCTTTTATTAAGATATCCTCAGTAAATAACGTTCTCAGATATAGCACAGCCTTTTGCGAATCATTACCGCGTCTGCATATGCAATATACTGAAAAAATATAAGTTTTCTAATAGTTTATCCCAACAAAAATAACTCGAAACATATTTTCAAAAAAGTTTTATGGATCTTACAATCTACCGCACATTCTCCGTCCTGAAGTTTCTTCTCTCTCACGTTGTTTTTTATCAACTCTAAACTATTATCCTTGCTGAGTTCCGTAAGAGGAATATTGATGGAATTTTGTAAGTGACAAATTTCATATTCTTCAGGTGAGCGTACATCAATCAACAGGTGAGGCTTGGAATTTTGCACATTTCGATTATAATCTTCGACAGTTATTCTATCATCTTTTTCCAATAAATTTAAATTCGGCTCTTTGTCGTTTGCTTTTGCACCGCAAAATTCTTCATAATCGATCAATGTGTCTATAGTAGGATTATCTCCGCAAATCACACAGTTCGCATTTTTCGGGCGTAAGCGTAAATTGTGAAATTTGGTTTCCACTCCGTCAAACACTAAAAGTCGCCCGCTGATTACATCAGGCATGTTAAGTATTATTTTCAATACTTCTAACGCCTGTAGCACACCAATAGTTCCTACAACTAAGTTGAAATAATGCAAAATATTAAATCACAGAATAAAATCAATATATATATGTGAATTGTGATAAAACATGGTTGAAGAGAACATTACCTGCACCAAAAACACCTCCATCTCCACAGTTTGTCACAGTTTCTGGCGATGGAGGTGTAGGAAATACACATCTGTAACAAGGGCCATTGTAGTTGAACACCGACAAATGTCCTTCAAATCTCAATGCCGATCCGGAAACTAGTGGCTTTTTACTCAAGACACATGCATCATTTATTAAGTAACGAGTGGCTACATTATCTGAAGCATCCAATACGATATCATATTTCCTTACAATATCTAGAGCATTGTCACTATTCAGCTGAATTTTGTATGGGGTAACTCTTACATTGCTGTTTAGCCTAAAACATTTATCTGCTTTACTCTATATAATTTTTGAATTTTGCTACAATACTATACGATTATACACTAGTATAATTTTACTATTATACCTATTGATACTTTCTGCTGCTGCAAATACTTTAGGAATACCGATACTACTTTCATCATACAAAACTTGTCTATGAAGATTATTTATTTCAACATTATCATAGTCAACTATACCAATGTGACCAATACCAGCACATGCTAAATACAATGCTGAGGGACAGCCAAGACCACCAGAACCAACAATAAGTACAGAACTATTTTTTATTTTCTTCTGACCTAAAAAAATCACAAAGCAGGAAATGATATTACGTGCCAGATTTAAATATCATACATGCACGGTAAAAATTTTCTTATTACTAACCTTGCACGCCAATTTCTGGCAAAAACAGCTGACGACTATATCTACAAATCTCTTGATTGTCTAAGCCGTATTCTTGCATAATTTGTTTCTCATGTCGCAAATGAGCTAATTCAGTTTCTTTTGCGTGCAACAATGCACGTAATTCTGCAATTTCTGCCACTAATTTATCCTCGAATGTCTCTGACATGTTGTGTCTGTAAAATCAAATGTTACATACGATAAAATGTTTAACATCGCATAAAATCAACAAAATCTATGACGAGAGCTTAATAGTAAACGCTTACCTGTATTTTCACTTGTGAAAGTAATCGAATTATTTTTCAATCTTTAAAAAACGCAGTTACATAAAACTTTCTACTTTTTGAGGTTATAGTATCCTAAACACTAATTTGCAGTAATTTACACAGCTCACGAGTCGTCAGTACATCAGCTACACTAATTTACTATGACTACTAGTAAGAAAATGGTGAGACAAATTTCCAGTACAAATTTAACCAGTGTATTTATTTTATTTATATATTTTATGTGTACACAAAGATAACATGCAGCGTTTATACATTTTTCTTTTAGAAAACAGTTAACCTAAAAAACACTCAATTATATGACGTAATTGGTCCTCCCGATCCAGTTTCAAATTTGAGACCTATCATATTTGCTCATCCACCGAAAGAAACGTATTCGGAGAAAAAATACAGAGAACTTAGAAGTGAGACTCATCAATGGAACCAGGCATTTTGGTTCAGGCACAATACCAATTTTATTGAGGTATGATTTTTCAGTTTCTTTTTAAAAAGTATCGAAAGGTTTCCTCATTAGTGACATTTCAGGAACGAAAACAATTTCAAGAACGTTTTAAAGCTCAAGGAAAACCAACTATAACTGCAGATGATATGTCAGTATTTTATAAACAATTCCTAGACAAAAATTGGCAATCTCACTTTAATTATAACATTGCATGGTACAGAAGAAATCTAAAAATTTTGTTTCTTGGAATAGCAGCAAAACTATCTAAGCTTAGATTTAAATAAATTTGTTTTAATTGTAAATATAAGAAAATTTGTAAATAAAATAATAATATATTATGAATTATGTAGTATTCTGAAATTTTTTCTTTAAATAAATTTATATGTATTCTTTAATAGAATATCATATAAACTGTTATATTTATTACAAAACATATATATTTTTTATATATCTTAACGTAGTAATAAGCAAACAAATACACATCACACAGGCAATAAAAATAAAAATAAAATTCTAACAAAATTCTCAAGAAATTATTTTTTAAAAATTAACAAATGTTTCTCTTCGTTAAAGTCCACTCAAAACTGAAGATTTGTTACACACGACTCTGTATATTTTGAACATGAGAGGAGGAGGAGGAAAAGTATTATGTAAATCCATCTGGATTTATCAGATGAAAAAGATAAAATTTGTTTCCTCTTCAAAAATTAAAAATATTGTTTTATATACAAAGTTATTATACAATACTTATCAATGTAACTTTTAAATAATAAAAAAAATGGCAATGCAATATATTGCAATTTAATAATTACAATAAAAGCCATCGATATTACAAGAATAATTTTTCTCAAAATTATATATCGAAAACTGTCTTGTGTGATATGTAACGTGAAAATGTTGTCACATAAAAAAAGCTAAAGTCCAAGTAAAATAGATAATGAACACATGAAAATGTATTTCTTAAACGTTAAAATTATAAAATTTAATTAGAAACGTAAAACGTATATGAACGTTAGACTATTTTATTTGTGAATATTTTTGATCATTCAAAATTTTTATTTAATTTGATAACTGATTTTATTTTATAAAACAGTTCGACTTCGCTTAACAGTTCCAGTCTTACAATTATTTACATTACTACCAAATCTTAGCGAATTTAACGTTTCATTGTAACATTCATCTAAAGGAGATATATTTAATAACATCAAAGTTTTCGAGTTGCCTCCCAAAGAAGGCATAAGCAAGTGAGTCAACTTGGAATTTCGATAAGGAATATGTTCCTGTTTTTTCAGAAGGGCTAAAATAACGTTACCGAGATTTGATAGAGATTTGTTGATATTTTTAGTCTCAGTAGTTCTGACAGCCTCCTCGGTTTTCAAACGTTCCGAACCGGCCAAATCGACCAAATTCAGGTTTCCTATTGAAATTTCTCCTTTTGTAGTATGTGTTCCAATTAATCGTATCTGTGCTACAGAGTGTGATCTGGACGATCTAGAGAACAAATTGTCATATGAATATAACTGGATCTAATAAGTTTTTTCAAAATATTTGTTAATGTTTTTAAAAGCTTTTTACCGTTCATTCGATTGTGTAGCTGCAACAGCTCGATTGCATTGCGCGATTCGAAGACATTCACGCATTTCCTCGGGACTGTGAATATCTTCTACTCGAAGATTGCTGACATATAAATCTTGACCTTTGCTGTCAACCATTCGTATTTCGTGCGTTTTTGGCTGAGACTCAAGAAGATCAACAATATGCTCATTGTAAATTTCCAGGAAACTCGCTTTTATTTTGTATTCCCATCCAAGAAGTTCGAATTGTTTCATCTCTTTAAATATGTGACGTATCTGAAATTATACAAATATTTCTGATTTTCTTAAAAATGTTTAACAATTTAGTTGCAAATGCAATTTATATAAACATTATAATGCAAGTTTTAGATTACTTTTGAATTGTTAACAGCAAACTTTAGATGATGTAAATACATAAAAACGTACCGTTCTAGGTATCATTCCCTCAGTAAGTAGATTTGGTTCGCCTTCCATTGTATAAGTTTTGCCAGAACCAGTCTGGCCGTAAGCAAATACACAAACGTTGTAGCCTTCAAGAGCTGATTGTACCAGAAGGGCTAATTCTTCAAATATATCTTCCTGTGTTGCATTGGGAGCAAATACTTTATCAAATGAGAATTCCTGTTTTGTTCCTCGCTTGCTGTAATTTCCTCCGTCCGATCCATCCATCTTGGAAATTTCAATAGTGCGATCATCTATAAAGCTTATACTGCATGGCCTATCAATAAGAGACAATGTTTTCATTAATAAAGTTAGAGATATAAAACAAATGTATGTACGTACTTATATATCTTTAATTATTTTGATGAGAAAAATAGTATTATATTATACTTAAAAGTTAACAAATATTCACTAACTAAATACTAAGTTGAGAAATTATTTTTTGTACGTAATATAAGAGGCTGTCTTGTATAAAAACAATTTACATTAAAAAATATCTGCTTACATCTTCATCAGTTCTATCTCCCTTGCAGTTCTCGGCCGAACTCTACAAAATACTCTAATATTGCCTTTTAATTCTTGTATGTTATTGTGTAAAATTCTACGTTCTTTGTCCAATTTGTGTGTCAATGATTGTAATTTTTCTTTGAGAGAATTTAAAACTTCATTACTCTCTTTTGTCGTTTCTAGCTCTGTTTTCAATGTTGTCAGTTGTTCAGTTTGTTCTTTGAGAGTTACTTCCTGTAATTTACACTGTTTCTGATATTCACTCAATAATTTTTCTGATTCTTCCAAGCGCTTTGTTAAGTCTTTGTTACTTGATTTTACTTCTGACATCTCTTGTGTTAAACTTTCAAGTTCAGTGGCAAGTGTTTTATTCACATTTTCTAATTTTTCTGCTTTTTCTCTGTATAAAGCTTCATTGGCTTCTAAAGTATTAGTCAGGCTTTGAAGTTCATTATATTTTGTTTCTATGTCTTTGTTTTTTTGTTGTACAGCTGATAATTTGTCACTTGTGTGTGCCAAACGACCCCGAAGATCCCATTTTTGTATCTTGCCTGTTTTGTTATCTGTATTATTTTGAGTCACTTTATTTATTGTCTTTTTGTTTGCTAATCCACTGCTACTTGGCTTGTTTGCTAAAGCTTTAACAGGTCTAACAAATGGTTTTTTTGGTTCTCCATGTGTTACAGTAGTAGCTTGTCGTTTTACACCCTTTGGATTATTATTAGTATTCGTATTATTATTTGGTCGAGTAATTGAAGCTACTGTCTTGGCACGAAGTAAAGTCTGTTTAACTTGTAATTTATCCTCTTGCAACAATTTAGCACAATTTGTTGATGCTGAGTAAGTAGTGGTCCCAGTTTTTGTCACGTTCTGACTGTTACTCTTAATATCCATTGTACTAACAGATTTTCCTATTATAATTTTTGGTTTTGGTAAGCGAGATTCCATCTGTCAGATGCAATAAAAATCTTTTAAGTATTTTAAGAAAATTTATAACAACTATATGAAACAAAGCAAAACTTTTTACACACAAAATTTATACAATTCTAAACATAAGCTACGCACGTATTTAACTATAAAAAGCTGTCTTGTAAATCACACATTAGTCTAATAAAAAAACTTCATGCAAGAGAACTACATAATAAAAATGAAAAAAAATATCTAATCAAAAAATACTAATGTAATTCAACTAATTGCTACAAACTATGTTAATAATTTTATATTAACGATTTTGTTACATGTGTATTCTTGTATGAAAATAAAATATAAAAATATATATGAAGTGGTGATAGATGATTTAAACAAACCTCTCTCGTTATTACACACTCACAACAACAAAAATCTTCTAGTCACAACAATTAACACTTGACTACGCGTTAATGTTTATACCACACAAATTACCTAATGTTCGTGTAACATTATGTTATTTGTTCTACAAATCACAATGCGGTTTTTAAGAGATAATTCTTGTATTTTTTTTATCACGTCAATTTTGCACGTAAAAGCGCGAATAAAATAAAAATTATCTGTTTCTTCATTCACGTTCTCTGTCCACGTTTAACAAGCTGACGGTTAACAATATTCGAACTTGATGGCTTGGTGTTTTAACGGCTAGTGGCCATCACAATTTGAAATTGAGTTTAACTGCACATGTGTAACGAATCTACCCTATAGAATGAAAAGACGATCGTTTGTGTTCCGCTTCGACGAATGCTGTAACGGATCCAACAGACGGACCAATCCGCACGTGTTTTACAAAAGACCGTCAGAACACAGAAAAACTTGAGAACGGAATGCGATCGTGTGCACTTAAAAAAAAAAGAACAGAAAAAAAGTGTCGCAGGAGATCAATTAATTGCAAATAAACGAGCGATTCCGTTTTGATTTTCGGTCACACGAGACATAATTTTACGAAACGAAGTTAAATTCGATTGGTTGACTTCGAATCGATAGCAACATACAGCGACATCTATCAAACTATCCGAGATGATGAACCAAAGCGAACGGATTCGAAATTTTGGAGACCAAGTTTGGTAAGAGGCAGAGGTTTGTAAAAAATATCAATGTTTGTTTAAGATATTTATTTACAAAAGTGTATTCAATCACAAAATTATGTTTGATAATACAAATTTGTTCTCTCACATCAATTAATTAAATTAATTAAGTAATACACTTATTTTACTTTCTTTTTTTTCAGAGCTTTTGATTTTGCGAATTTCACTTTTTGAACTGGTTTAGCTATTACAGATGTCTTCTTTATTTTTTTCTTGACTTTTTTATTCTGCTCGTCTGTGTTTCTTCTCTTTTCCCATGTTTCTAACTTTTCCTCTAGTTCTGCTACCTTTTCCTTTATATCCCCTTTAAATAACTCATCTATAGGATTAAGATCGTAAGTCTCTTCAGATTTGGTTGCGTGTCGCACCATTTGCTGTTCCACTTTGTTTGTATACTTATTAGCAGCTTTCTTTTCCAATGATTGCCGATACTGAAATGCAATAACGAAACATAACCATTTGCAATCAGCAGTAAAGAATCAGTCGTATTATACATTTACTTAACACAAAAGAAAAAATACCTTAGCGGGCGAAATGTAATGTGGATTCTCCCACAAAGTTTCACCAGTGAAACTTCCAGCAAATATCTTGACCGGATTTAGAACAAATCTTGGTCCAATTTCTGCCAACCCACCTTCTTCATTTAGAATTTGAAAATTTCGAAACCATATTCTGTTATCCAAGATATTAAAAGTATACACGTGATCAAAAAAGGGCTGACTTTTAGGGTGATGATTTGGCACACCAAAGATCTGTGTTAATAACTCCTTCAAGAGAATATAATGCATGTGCTTGTTAAAAGTTTCATCAAATGACAATAACGGCCGAGATCCCCTTAAACAGTTTCCTGTCATTTTCAGTTCTCCCATTGTATAAACTAGAAACAGAGCGATATTTAAAGTTGCCGCTGTTAGACAAGATTTCTTAAAAATCTGTTAGTGTGATATATTAGAAACTTAATTACATACTATTTTCCACAAGAAATTTTGCACTTGGGCCACTCGCTATGTTAGAACACCATACGTAAAGATCGCGTTTTTTCCGTCCCTCAAACAGCAAAGCCTTGTTGCAATGTTTCATCTCGCACATCTCGTTTATTACTTGCAAATTCTTAGTACGTTCCATTTTATTCTCCGGACGGTGATGTGGCATCAATATTTTCACATCTTCCATAAGATGACGATGTCTGTAACTGATGCCTCGAGTAGCGAACACCAATACTCGTTGCCTGTTCTTCCACTTGACCTGCAAGAATTAACGTTTTAATTTTCATTGTCAAATAAATTGAACGCAACGCGTAACAGAATGTAAAAAACAAATAAATGGTAAAGCTTAATCAATTTCTTTATAGATTATATTAGGTTATGTGTATATATTATTCAAAAACCTTTTTAGCATCAGGCTCTAGCATTATCTTTTTTGACTCATTTCCTTTATCCTCATCTTCTCGTTGCTTTCTCTTCATCGTGTTAATTTCTTTTTTTATCAATATAATAACGTAAAGATTTACACAGATTTACACTTATACGTTAAACACGTGTAGTGAATATATTAAATGCAACACTAGCACCTCCAATCGAATGAGACAGAACTATGTTGAAAAGCGCGGATTTAATGTGCAGTAGGTTTCAGTAGGGCACATGGTAGGGCGTAAATAAGCAACACAAATTGTTTCTTTATTATATTGTATTCATATGTCACATTTTTATGAGAAATAATCGGACAATGTCATACATGTGGCATTTGTGCTGTATTCATAAGCGTTTCTTATCGATAAACATTTTTCCATTAATGACACACATTTTACATGTAATAAGAAATGATATCTTTATACTATCAATAGTAGTATACAATTGTGTACTTAAAATATATACTCGATGATATATTGTACTTTTATTTTACTCCACATTTCCAAGAGTTATATAAAAATTTGTTTGTCCTAAAGTATATTGTAAATGTTCATTGTAGAAAAATATACAAATAAGTGTAAATACTTCAACAAATATATAAATTGTGCAGATCATACACAGTTTTCTAACGTTCAACTATAAAAAAAAAATATTGTATATAATATATGTAAGAATAATATAATATATCTATAAGAATAATATATATATTTAATAATAAGGCCACATTAAGAGCTATACACTAAGTGTATATGTGAAATAGTTATAAAGTGTAAATTAATACACAATGGCTTTTGTTCGCGCGTTCGCGGGGAGCGCGATAGCGTTAATGCGTCATTCTATCCTTGTTTTACAGCTAAATGATCGATAAGAATAGAATGACTCAACAGCGCTAATACACATCAAATATGCGAAAGTCTTAAAATATATTATTACAATAAAAAACAATATTAAATTAGCCCTATGTGGGTTAGATTTTACTTCGAAATATTGACTTTGAAAGAAGGACAAATGTATAACATTTAAAAAATATATTTTATATAAACATATAAAATATATTATTATTTTAGTATTATAAGTACTCTCATTTCTCTGTCAATAGTATGTACATGGAGTTTGTCTATTCGCTCCATCATCGTCTTAATTCTAGAATACACACTTTTGTTTTTGTTCCGGGAATACACGCGGGAGGAGTCTGACGAACTCCACAACAACTTTGAAGTCGTTGCACAGCAACTGTCTACAATCAATCAATTTTTTTCACTTAAAACGTTTGAAAACGAAATACATGCATATTCTAGAGTTAAGAGACAAAATCGTCACAAAAATATGTATATGCGAGATGTGATAAAATGATAGATGCAATTATCGTAAAAATGCTTAAAAAATACGTGCGTAAAAAAGTGATGAAACTAGTAGGTTCCGCTTGTAAGCTAGTTTAAATAAATTGTTACATTGCACACATCGCGGTCTAACATTACGCACGAATGTATATATTTGCATACGCACAGCGCTAGAAAAAAGAATATTTGAAGAAAGCCTGTTATTTTCTCCTACCCACACCCACACCGACCAACTTATGAGCGGAAACCACTACGTTCTGTATATACTGGTAAATAAATGCATCGTTAATAACAATAATAACAAGAATACTTATTCGTTCATCGGTGTTAATTCGTGAGACTGTTGCCCGTTTGCGTTGCTGTTGGATGTTCCGATCATTGCCAATGAGGACTGACGCCATTTTCCATTCTCACCGTTCAGATTTTTGTCTTCGCATATGCATAAGAACAGCGTGTCGATAACGGTCTAAAATCATGAGAACAGAAATATGAGTCAGATATTGAATAGAATTTTCGAATAAAACACATGTAGAAAAAAAAACGCAGACTCACCTCGTAAAGAGAAATTAAGCAATGAGCTATGAAAAATGAGAAAACGCAAACAATTAAAACCGGAATGGCGTAGAATTCCAGATCCGGATCGCTTCTCAGCAAGAGCAACGAGACGCTTCCTGTAGTAGCCGTGACGAAACATTTTCCCAAAAATAATATAAAATCGCCAAATCCGTTGATCACCGCTATTTGTAGAGCATTATTGACGAGTGTTGTGAAAGCCTTAAAAACAAATATAACTTGCGAATCTTTTGTATAACTAATTAATAATAGTAAAATCAATATAATTACACATGTATATATTACTATTTATTATGTTAATTCTCTATGTTCTACCACTTATATCATATAAATTAATAGTAGCACTTACTATTCTGGCCGCATTACAAAAGTGAGTACCCTCTATAGCAATGACGGTATACGCATTATGATTCATATATCGAATAAATTTTTCTAAACAATAAAAACAGCAAATGCAACACTTCAAACCGCACTGAGCGCATGGAGATGTTTCCTTAGTCTTTTCAAATCTATGATGTAAAAATAAAAATAGAAATTATCCAATACACGCGATATTGAAACAATCAAAGATTTTCTCTAAAGAAAATCAGGAAAATTCTTTACTGAATTTTTTTTTTTTTTTTTATCGAGAAACTTACTTTGCGTGTAAATAAGTTAAAATCAGTCTGGGTAATTTAAAGATAGTTATCAGAAACGATCCACACGCTACACTACCCATGTGATAACAAATCAAGTGTCCTATGGACGAGCACACCGGATAGGAGCTGGCATTTTTACCTCTGATAAAAGCACACACAACAAATCGTTTGTTAATAAAACTATATCTACTGCAACAAGTTTCAAGATGAATGCCAATATTACAAACTATTTACCTAAAATACCAGTGAGCGACGGAACCCGATATTACCATGGTTTGACATCCGGCGATAAATTCCGACGTCCATACCAGTCCTATGAGATATACCCACCACATGTACTTCACCCAAGTTGCGTCGACGTATTCCACAATAGTAAACGCTGGGATATTTAACCAGTTATTTGATTTTTTTTCACGGATTAATACAATATACACAAATTTCTGTGACTTATACATTACTTTTAAAATTCTCAAGAGAAAAGTCGATCTTTTTTTCCTCAATCAAAGGAGCATTTTCACCGATCGAGCTCAAATTCAAGGGATCAAATATAGTGTTCTTGTACATTTGCACTGATTTCGTCTCGGGATAATCTGTAATATAAAGTTTTATATAAATAATTTAATCTCTAAAAAAATGTAATCGCTAAATACTACAGAATACTCACTTGCTGTTGAAAGGCAAAGAATTACAAATACCCAAAAGGCAAAAAACAGTACCAAGCTAATAAATGTTAAAACTGGTTGAAGAAATAATCCTGGCAATTCGTGCAAACATTTTGCACTCTCTCTGAATAAGTCTGCCATAAATTTGATACGTTTGCGTAATATACACGAAAGAAACAATAAAATAATCTGTAAAATATAAACAAAGATTAGTAAGAAACACTCGCGTGTATAATGTATGATAAATGTTTACATATATTTATATATTTATATATATATATATATTAGCATAAACTCGTACGGTAATAATAGTAGCAATAATGGAAAATGCAAGAAACGCTCTTTCATTTCTAACAGCCTCTTCAAGAAGCTGATTTGGATCAGTTTTGTCCAAGGTTCTTTTAATATCAACATACGTTATCCACAAGAGAATTGTACCTCCTGCAATAAGACAATGTAAAACCTCTAATAGTTGTGACGCGTATATCCCTGATGCTTAATCCTTCACAGAAAACCGACAACTTACCCGTACAAGCGATGCTTACAAGTCCGATGGTAATCCACGTCACGATACTTGCGAGCATATGAAAGATTACTATCATGAAGAAAGATAAAACTGAAAAAAAAAAAAGAAATATCCGATTTATATAGAGCTACGTGTTAATACAATTGTGAATAGAAATGTGTATTGTTGTTCCTACCGGCGGCAAGAAAACACAATGCTAAAATTTCTCGCCATGTTTTGTAAAGATCTCCCAAAACTTGTTCGATAACATCCCACGAATTGATCAAGCCGTACAAATTTGAAACTACCGTTTCGCCCACTTCTTTGACTGCTGCGGGGATACATCTATTTAAAACAGGTATGCTAGGATAGGCACGTTCTGGGCAAGATCCGAATCTGCTGTTCTTGGTGTTACAAGCACTGAAATTACCGCCTGGTCTATCGTGACATAATTGTGACCCTGTGTCTAGATAAAATTTACAGATATCATCTATATTCTTTATGATTCTGTCGGGACATTGTTTCACACAAATCTTTAACGACTGAGTAACATTGTTTATATCCAGGAAGAATAAATATCTAAAATAAATAAGAAATAAAATATACAGTTTTTTTTTATGAAACATAAAAATTTATATTAAATTAAAAAATGGAAATTAATGAAATATACTAACGGTTTGTCGGTAGTATCCAGTCCAGACAATTCCATGCTACCAAACTTTTTATTTTTGGTGCCACATGTATTTCCAAAACTGTCGTACCCATTTATAAGCCGTAGGGGATTGCCATACACTATCGCAAAGGCAGCAATCAAGATCTAGACAGACAATAAGATCAAATTGTAAAAAATTGATTTCACTTGTTTATATAAATGTTTTTATATAAACTTTTTCATGTTTTTATATAAATTTTTTATAAATACCATAAGAAACCAGAAAGCGATGAAGAGGCAAAGCCAGAAAACGTCCGTGCATCCTCGTACTCGTGTTGGTTCAGCTTGTTCCTCATCTTTACTACTACAACAGGACATCCCTTCTTTCTTCGTTGCTTCGCAGAATCGCACAGGATTGCACGGAATCGTCACCAACAAGTATATGTCGCATAGACGTCAAACTGAAGGCGGGAAAAGCGTGTTTAAATAGATGTTATTGTTGACGTATTCTTTGTATGCTTTTATTCTTTAAAACGTATGTTTCTGACTACCTGCGACTGACGCTCAGCAACGCTCAGTGCCGTAACTTTCTGTGTATACACGACAAGTCCGTGGGTCCCGACGCTCCGAAAGAGTGAAATGGAGCGGATACCGGCGGGAATACATTTGTCATTAATTTTTTTGTAACTATATAATCGATCGGTTTATCGAGATCGTAACCGCTAACGGGTTTTAGTACGCGACCTTGCTGTTGCTCTATTAATTGTTGTTTAAAGATATAGACTCGACTGGAAAAAAAAAACGAAAATTATCGCACTTTTCATTACATAGTATAAAGATTATTTTCGCACACATAGACGTACAGCTTGGAAATTTGATCTCTATTTGACTTCTGAATCTTTGTATACACGTGTGCGATTTCATGATTGAGAAAATATTTGATGGCGCGAGGTGCGACAAATTGTTGCGAACGGTCCTGCAAACGGCGTGGTATTGTTTCTACGGTAACGAACGCGTCACATGGAAACAACGTTCAGTAAAGGCCGCCATGCCATTGCAACATGCAGCAACATGGCAGCAGCAACAGATTATCGCGCCATTCAGCCGCGCGTATCGACGGCATGTTGTGGAAACATCGTCGTTGGCTCTAAACAAAACAAACGGTCCCGTTTGATACGGCAAATATCACTTGTGAGTGTCGTTATTTGCAAAACATTTCGCAATCTCGAGACGAAGCACTTCTCTCATAGCCGTGAACCGTCCGGGATGCCAAAATAAACCGCCTGGAAATCGCCTAACCTCTATTTGAGACGTATTTGGATCACGATTAAAGACGAGACGAGCGACCAGAAGTTCGATTTTACCTGAGAAAAGCTAAATCAGCAACATGAAAATACTTTCTAGCTCAGATTCCGAAACAGACTCGCAATGTATAATGATCCATTCTCAATCTTCAACTTGCTAATATCATGATCTTCCTGGATCATAGTTATATCATTAACTCATATTAGTTTATCAAATTATCGTTATTCATCAAAACTGTGCCTAGTGCGTTACAACAAAATTGCATATGTCCATTAATAATTTTTGGAAAACTGCAAAGTAATGCGAATTTGTTGCTAATTATAGTTTTTTATTTTGAGTAACGAATTTTGATAAAATTTGTATTCAAAAAAGTAAACTTGGCTGAAAATCAGTCTATCGAGATACAAACGAGTTAAATGTATGTGACATACATTTTTTAGTGATGGAAGAAAATGGAAGTAAGAGGATGAGGGGCAGAACTCGTGGCAGAACCCGCGGACGTACCCGGGGCAGGGCCAGAGGAAGAACAAAGAAGCAAGTAAAAGTAATTAATCATTTTATATTTTTCAAATACAAAAATTAATTAAAAACAAAAACTAAGAATTGGTAACAATGTCATTAAAATTGATTTTGTAATCTGATATATATATATATAAATTGTTCTTGAAATTGTCTTCAGGTTATTGAAAGTGATGATGAAGAAACTCCACAACAATCAGAAGACACTGCTACAGAGACAGTAAGTGGAGAACAGGAGGAACATGAACCTCCTGTAGCCCAGCAATCTTCTTTGGAGCAACAATTTGATTTGGAAGCAGATATATCACAACTGGAAGCACCAACTTTTACAACCATCAATCGAGGTCCGCCAGAACCAATGTTGCGATTGAGATGGGACCATCGAGTGAATCTTATAGGAGAGAAAGTATTGAATCCTATGATACACTGCTGCGACAAGTGTCTGAAGCCTATTTTGATTTACGGCCGTATGGTACATCTTATTGCTAAAGAAGAATTATATGAACTCTATATGTCTCTTATTCAAGAAATCTATTTGTAGTTCTAACACATACTTCTCTGTTTCTCTAACTCAAGATACCCTGCAAACATGTATTCTGTCTATCTTGCGCCAAAAGAGAAGACAAAGTGTGTCCTAGGTGTATGGAAAAAGTATCTAGAGTGGAGCAAACCGGTTTAGGTACCGTTTTTATGTGTACTCATGAGGGCACGAGATACGGTAATGCAGGATGCAGAAGAACGTATCTCAGCCAACGTGACTTGCAGGTAACTGAGTGTCAACAAAGTAATAAATTTAAAAAGAAATTGTCATCTTGTATAATTGATTATAATATAATTACAGTTGTGAATAACGTATTAATCAGTAACTTTATAATATTGTGTAGGCTCATATTAATCATCGACATGTATCGGCGCCACCTCAAGCGATTCAAGGGATGCAAGTCGAGCCTCCTCAATACGTTCATGCAAAGTCGGAAATGGAATCCCAATTGTCTAAAGTATCCTCCGTATCAATGCAAAATACGCGTCTCAAGTCTGTGCAATCTCATATGCAATCGATTATGGGTAACGATCCACGTGTGAACTCGATGGTGAATCAGCAACCGTCGCTCGAACAGCATCGACAGCAACATCGGCAACAGCAACAACAGCAGCAAGCAATGATGTCTCTGCAGAGTTACACGCAGAGCGCCGCGCCGCCTCCGCCACCTAATAGTGCACCAATGCGGACTAATCTGATCACCGTGCCTATTCAGGATACAACATCCTTAACGACGCACGACCTACATACTCAGCAAAGTCATTATTATCCGCCGCCGTTACCGCCGCCGCCACCACCGCAGGTCAACTACGGTGGTTACAACGTGCCACCGCAAGTATCCCAGACAACGCAACAATACTATCCGCAACCGCAGCATCCAACCCAGGTATCTTACGTGCCACCACCACCACCGCCGCAACAACAACAATATATACCGCCGACACCGACGTCCATAAGACCGTCGCCGACAGGTTACATACAGGAACCCCAATATGGTCCACCACCGTCTCAGCCGCAACCGCCACCTCCGCCGCAGCAGTGGTCGCAGCATCAACAGCAGTTTTATAGGTAAAAAAAAAAAAAGGCTTCAATACTGTGCAGTGTTAAGATAACAGTGATGTGTGAATAGGCTACGAAAAAAAAAAAAAAACAGATACTATACTTACATAGAGTATTATACATATATATAGAATGTGTGGACCCAGTTTTATCCATAACTGGTATAAATATCTTCCGAGATTTTGTACTTTTTATTAAAGTAAATGATATGATGATAATTTGAAATGACAAAGAGCTTAGTTTATATAAAAGCTCCAAAGATATTTCAACTTCGCAATAAAACTCATTTCTTTTTTATACAGTTCCCATTTATATTTCGTTTTACTGTGATTAAATTATGGTATGTATTTGACAAATGTTTTATCAAATGTTATGTCATTATATTCTGATGTTTCACTTAAACTTGGTTGACAAATTACGATAGGCGCATTTAATCGTCTTAAGTTTCCGACTGAAAAATCTTTATGACGCAATTTGTATATCTAAGACATTTAAAATGATGAAATCGCAACTCTTGATAAAATATAGATCTTTTTTAAATGTTTTAATTTAATATATAAATTTAATTTCGAACAATATACATGTACGGTGTTTATAAATTTTGTTTCCAGTGATAAAACATGTTGGCAATAAAATTAATATGGATATTTTGCTGTAGAATTTAATATTGTACAGATTATAACGATTGTAACTTATGTACAAAACTAATGATATATGTATATATATATATATGTATATATATATATATTATATGTATAACATGTACATATATTATTATTATTATTATTATTATTATTAATATTATCATTATTAGTATTATTATTAGTATTATTATTATTAGTATTATTATTACATCAGATTCTTAAAACATTTTGTCTCGTGTGAAACTAAACAAACTAGTATTCGTCTTCATTCACACAGCTAATTTTGGCCTTCCATTTCAGTGTCTGCAGTAATAAATATTGACTAAATATTTTCACACACAATAAAAGCATTCAAACGATTTGTCAGTGACACACACTGCTCGAACGAAAGGACAAAATTGCTTAGAGAACACATCCGCGTACTTCCTCGAAATTTTTATCACGCCATACATAAAAATAGTTTTTAATTTCATCCTTTTTTTATATCGCTATATGTAATTACTGCCACCTGTTTTTTACTATCTTGATCCCTTTACGTCTTACACACATCGATCATTACTATATATATTTACAAACGCGTTTTTTGTGTTAATCATGAAATTTTTATATACAACATATTTGTTTGTAATTGTTATTCAAACTATTTTTTCTCTCCCTCATACACACTCCCTCTCTTATGTATATATGTGTGTATATATATATATATATGTATACGAATTAATGAAAAGTGTCATATATTTTATAACGTGAAATGTACACGTTTTATGTGAAATAAGCGACGAGTGTAAAGTAAAATTATGCTACGTTAAAACTGACAGTTTTTATAAAAATATCTTGATATATGTACACGCACAACTCCGATTGGAAACTTTAACAAGAAAATTAGAACTTGCTAGTTATAGCAAACGGATGTTGAAAGCTATAATAACTATTTAACATGTTTGTGTTGAAATAAAATGCATGTGTCTAGACTCAAATATAAAAGTAGAGCTTTACATGACAGTTACACATAAATGTGTGAGTTAACAGCAAGATTTCGTATTCTTGTGCACAGCTCTGTTGGCGTCGATTCTGATGTGAAAGCTATGCACAGGAATTTTTGCAACACATCGCCAAAAGCGTCGGACACAAATTTTTGCTCATACAAAATTTACTATAAAGTAAAATATTAAATTTATTTACTTTCTTTAATCTTAATATCTTTTAACAGAATTGTCGCTTTATGTATTGCACTGAACAAGTATACTCATCAATTATTAAATCATCATCGGACTTTTTGAGAGACGCCAATGTACTCTAAACATGATCCTGTGATGAGATCGTTCACACAATGTTTCCGAAGTATTGAAATACTTGCGTAATTTATTGATTTTGTTTACGCAATTTTCAGTAACAAAGAACACTTTCGTTTCTTGGAAACTTAGCATCGTAAGATGCAAAAGGTGATTTTACACAATTTTCCATGTCGAAAAATCTTCTAAAGATTATATACTTGTATTGAATCGAGTATTGTAATATGTAATAAAAATCATATTAATGATTATTTATTAGAAAAGTTAAATTTTCTCTAGTGATAGTGTATCAATTTTTTCTTACAGTACTTAGATTCTCTGTTTTAGCGGTTATTTTTATGGAGTTAAGTTCTTTTAGCATGGAAATGATAAAAGATCAATCTTGACATTACAGTGTTTCATTCGCAGAGACATAATTAAAAAAATAAAATATGAATCCGATTCACATACTCATTCTTTAGAAGATTTTCAATATAAATTTACAAACCTAATGAAATCAGTCAGTCTCGTATAATCACGTAGTACTAGTGGGATGATTGTGTATGTTTACATTGACTTGTGGAATAAGCGGTGACGCGAGCGGTTTTGGCGTGGTAGTTTCAGGTATCGGTATAGAAACCGCGGGAGGAACTGGAGAGTGCTTCTTGGTTCTGTCTGGTTGCCAAGGTTTCGCATGATCTCTGCTTAATCTCTCGCTCAATGCTTTTAACGCTATTTGCCTGCAATGCGAGCATTGACAAAGTGACAACACAAACAATTTACAAAAATGACATTCAACGTAGTTTTCATAAATATTATCAAAAATCGAATATTTTTAAAATGTAGTTTACACATTTTGTAGCTACTCACCTACGTCGCTCGCTATCATGAGGATCAATACCAGGGAGATTGATTACCAAACCAGGTGGTGTATTGGACATGTCGAACCTTCTGACTACTCTTCGACACAGTCCAATGCGCACGAAAAATCCGTGTATAGTGTTACTCACTACTGCTATTGGTGGTTGTAGAACATTTGGGAAAAAGCTGTAAAAAAAGACGCGGCGATTAGATCGTTGATGATTTGGTCAACGAAAAACCATGTAACTGCAAAAGTTCTACTTGCCTTGCAAATGTAAAATTATCTGCCATATCTCCTCGAGTGCCGTTGTTGTGTTTCTGATAAAATCTTAGATATATCCAAGATATCAACAATCCACTGAGAAACATGGTGGGATGAGTACCTTCTAACAACCCAACAAGCCAAAATATCAATCCCAAGATCCAGACCATTAAGGGTATATTTCTATTTGTGATTTTTCCGATAGGTGTCTTAATTAGGATGTGATCAGGCATTATTTGTTTCACAGCTACCGCAACTCCTATAAAATGAATGGATTATCTTTTTATATCTAATGTTTATATTACAGTGTTTTTAAAGTTCTTTTAAAAAATCTTATATATAACTGAAATATAAATTCTCTCTCTAAAAAGCATATGTTATACAAATGCTCTGCTTAGTTCAGGACTACTTTTATAACAGCAGTCCATGTCATTGCACTTATACGTAAACAATTCAATCAGCAAAAATTGGCCAGTCATTGACACACTGCAATCAGTCGCAAGAGAGGAAGATACCTGCGATGTAACCGGTTAAACCGTGTATGTGTATGTTAAAGAGCAGATCCGGGTTGCTGGTGCACATGTAGAGAAACAGATAGAAGAGCGCCGCGAGAACGGCGACGCCAAAGTTGACGATAGCAAAAAACGTCATCATTTCGAATGCTCCCCACAGAGGCTCGATCAGTTTGCCGCACAGGCCGACGGTGATGACGTCCACGCATACTTCCCAGAAATGTATCTCCAGAAAGCAGAAGGTGAAGGCCGTCCAGAACCAGAACGCCGGCGGCAGCAGGTAACCTGGCGTCACGCTCAGAATGCGAACCGCCTCCTCGGAGAAGGACAAGCAATACGAGAACAACACAACCACGCAGACGGATTTGACGCTGGTGCTGGTATTGCCCAGCAGGGCCGCAGCTTGTTGCCTCAAGTAGGGAATATTCCTACCCAGGCCCTTTATCGCCGCCATCGCCACGATCAAACCTAACCCTAACCTATCTTTTGCTCGCGCCGTCAAAGGGAAAGAGAAGTGCCAAATTAGCGACTCGCGCGCTGCCACCTGACGTTGGCCTCGAGTCGCATGTATAAACGTTCGATAGAAAACCAAATCGATCATTCTGATTGTGTCAACTTCAAAAATATATCGCAGTAATCGCCGTCATTTCGTGTTGCGCATCTTGTTTATTTGGAAGGACCAAAAGAGAGGGAATTCTTGGTTTGTTAAATTGCGCGCTAAATTAAAAATCTTCGCGAAATCGTGCAGAATGTTGAGCGTCTGTCAGCGCGAATTATATATTTTGCAAAAGAAGAATTTGGCACTCGAAAAAGTTTGTTACATATTTTTTGCTTTTTTTAATTATATGTATATTGTAATATAATCATTTTGTTGTGTAGTTTTTAACAAATATATTATCAGTGTTTCATATTTATATTTAAGTATGTTTTTTTTTGAATATAAGTTTTGAATATATCGTTCATGATCGTCCGTAGATAAACGCAGAAAACTGCTCGCTGTAGCTGCATCGTGGCGACACACCGCGGAGATTTGTTTTGCGAAAAAGTCTCTTACGCGCGTTCGTTTTTTCCCGCAACGTTTGTTCTCTCCGTTAGGTTTGTACAGAACTTTATAATTTATAAACATTTTACTCCAATAAATTTTGTACAGAACTTTATGATCTAATAGGTGCAGTCGATGTATATGCAACAATTCACGGCATAAAAAAAGTAACGCAGTTATTTACCGCGCGTTGTAGACATTGCGCTCCTCCGACGTATTAGATAATTTTTTTCAAGAACACTTCAAGTACAAAATCAAATCGCGGAATGTCGCACGACTAACCACACAAACTCGGATTTCGGCAAAGGAATGAGCAGTCCCCGAAATCATTTGAGGTGAGCAATCACGAGCGAAATATGTTGTTTCGATCGTCTCGAGGAACAATATTTTATAGATCGAATATATCGGAAGCGTTCATTATTCTCAGAAATGTTTGTAATAGATAAAAAAATAAAACATTGCACCGTAACACCGAAAATGTAACTTTTTTTTTAACAAGAAGTATTTTTGAATCAAAATGATTGGTTTTGTGCAATTATTGTACAAAAAAAAAAAAAAAAACGCAAGGAGACAAATTTGAAAAAGTTCGCGTTATCATAGATCTTTCATATTATGTATTTTTTTCTTCGTCTCTGATGTAACTCCGTTTATATCGCGAGAATAATTTTTGTCGCATTCCCTGATCGTGCCCGTTCGCACCTGTGTGTGTAGTATCTATGTACGTAACTGCTCGCATCACAATCGTGGTGAGCGGCCAAATGAGATAGAAATGAGGATTGTGAGCACAGATGTTTCTAGTACTACGGGCGAGAATCAGACAAGAGTGATTCTGTCCACCTGCGAGTCCTCGTCCACTTGCCGCGAGTCAACGGCTGCCGTTGATGCTCCCGACGTCGCGCCTTCGTCGAGACGGAAATGTTCGTGCCCGTCGCGGCCGTTCACGACGAGTCGATGCGCGCCTTTTCGCAGACGGGTGTCCTTCAGTGAGGCCGCCGTTATTGGGACCGACGATCGACACGCGACGATCATGCAAAATGACGACGATTCGACGAGTTCGCGTCGCGATGGAGAAGGCGACAATGATAACGGGGAACGAGAGACCTACGATATATGGCAGACGGACGACTCGTCGGCTGGCAGGAGCGACGACGGATACTCGGAAAGCGCACCGAGGATCGATAATTACGCGGAAAACTACTGTGTATCGGATTGCACGTCCAACAATAACAAAAGCCAGCGCACGCAGTCGGACAATACCGACGAGCTGGCAGTAGAGAGCGACGGACGGATGCGAGGAGGATGGGTCGGCAAGAATGACGTCTGTCGGGCGAATCACATCGACAACAAGACAAGAAAGATCGACGATGAAGATATCATATCCAATGAAGACCTATCGAACTTCATCCACAAGGATGTGGACTCGACTGAACGTGACGAGTATCGCATGCGAGGAGGTTGCAACGGATGTTGCTGCTGCGGAGCACGCGAAAAGTAATATATAAAAACATTTAATAATATAAAAGAAAGTTATAGAGAGTTTTATAGATATAGCGCTTAACATTTATTTTTTTTTTTTTTTTTTTTGACATGGTACAGTGTCAGAAGAAGTTCGCAAAATTACGGCTGTTGCTGCGGAGGATTTGTGCCAAAGCCGAATGAATCATGCGCGTCCAACGCTGACGCCGAGACAGCGTGCACAGTATCGTCGCGTTGCTGTTGTTGTCCTCGAATCTGCAAGAAAGCGGTCAGATGCGACGCGCCTCCGTGCACAACAGATGCCCGAAGTTGCGGCAGTGGTGGATCCTGCGGCAGCGGATGTCGCGAAGGCTGCGGGAAACCCGATCAGATCTGCACGCCTTCGCCAAGAATCTGCAACCCGCCGTCTCATTCCTTGTCACGAGGAAGGTCACCTTGCGCATCACGTTTTCCGCCGCAGTCTCCTTGTTCTACCAGCGGTTGCAGGAGCTGCTGCGGCGGAGCTTCCTACGAATGCGGAAGGTGCGTATCCTCGCAAGTATCCGCACATTTTAGTTATGTTATGAAAAACATTTGTAGTTTTATTTTTTTTAACAAACTTCGAACGTTTTAAATAAATATCAAACTTTTTAGAGAACGTCATATTTTGGTAGAGAAAAAATAATTTTGATCTGTGTGCAGATCGCGTAGCCCAAAGTGCCGGTCCACCATCGGAAGCTGCATCAACGACAGAGCGAAGTGCGGTACCGATGGAGCCTGCTGCCGGCTGAGATTGCCGTGCGAGTGCCTTGGTGGCGGCCTTGACTGCCGGAGATGCGACAGGAAAGTCTATCAGGCCGAGATGCAGGTCAGTGCGCAATATTGTCGAATACAGATTGCAACACATATCTTGCGTGACTATCTGTAGATTATCGTTCGATTCAATAATCGGACGCATATTATAAAAGAAAATGTGAATGCCTCCCCCCCTCCCCCCAGTGTGAATGCAATAATTTGCATTGTAAAATAGAAGGCGGAAAAAGAACTTTAGAAAAAGTATTTAGAGATTTGTTCGCGTGATTTATGACAGTAATATTACTTTCCAAAAGATCGTCTCCGGAGTGCCCTACCATAACATTTGCTTCAGTTGCTTCTGTTGCCGGAAGCCGCTGGAACCACTGAATTATCAGGAGAACTGTGGCGAGATTTATTGCAAACGTTAGTATTCATCTTTCTGTCTCTCAGATTGCAGAAAACATGCATTTTGTTTCTTATAAAAACAAAAATTTAACACTTTCAATCGAACAATAGTACTACCTCGACCAATTCAATGTTATGTTAACTGAGTTTCTTCGATAAATTTACACAGAATGTTACGTTCGTAATTTCGGACCGCAAGGATACGGTTATGGCGCGGGTGCCGGTGTGCTGCAAACTCCCTTGTGAGAACTCGACGATTGCCTAATATCGGTCGCACATGAGAGAGCGCTCAAGTATAGTTATATATAATGGTTTTTTTTTTATGCGCTTCTCATTTCTTTATGACAGTTATAAGGTCATGCATAAAAGATACGCACTCGCGACGCACATTAGACATGGAGTTTTGCGGCGCCGTAATATGTAATAATATATCTTGTAACGCGATGCATCGTTTGTTTCGCAAAACGAAATGTTTGATTAACCGCTCTTTTTTTTTATCACAAATAAATCCTGTGGCAAAGAGTATTCAGCGCAACGTTATTATTTATGATATTCAATTCTGCGTTTGATAATAAGTTGCGGGAAAAAAAAAAATGAAACAGAGTTGCGAATTAAAAAGGAAAACGATGAGCGGGGAGAGAAATTCGCGAGGTAGAGAAAAAGGACGGAACACCCGTTCTCTCTCTCTCTCTCTCTTTCTCTCTTTGCGCGAGAAGAAAGAAAAAACGATGATGTACTCTTTATTGAGTCTCTTCACCGGCAAATTGGCGAGTAATTTATTACCAACGAATCGTAACATAAAAATACGCGTGAACGAACAAAATAAAAAAAAAAAAAATTGAAGCTAAAAACGAAGACGTGAAAATACATTCACAAGACGATAATGTAAAAATGTGTAGAAGTAGGGAAAAGAGATTCGTCGATACAAGAGGAGGAGCGAGTACGGCGCCGTTGATGTTGGGAAGGAAGAGAACAGAGGACGAAGCGCACACACGTACGCAGAGGTACGTTCGGTTTGCAAAACAGTGAACGTGAGGAAGAGGAGGAGAAGAACGAGAAGGAGGAGGAAAGAGTGAGCGGTTGGTTTATTGAGTCTCTCCAGCGCCGGTGGATTGCGGAGGAAGGCGAGCAGAAGCGGAGGGGGCGTTTATATAGCTTTCAGGCGCAGAAGCTTAATCTAATTTCAAATATAAATCTGTTCTCTCTCCGCGCGCTCTCCTTCCTTCTATCTCGTTCTCTTTCTCTTCTCGTTCTTTTCCCTCCATCTGCCGCTCTCTGCCATCGTGCGCGCCCTTTCTATCCGCGTAGCGGCGCGCTTACATTATACCCGCCCGGCTACGAATAATGTTTTTCGCTTTTCCCATTAACATTACGAGACACTACGAGACTTACGTACTGCACACCGTCCAACCGGCGAACGCCGCGCTTTGTCGCCGCTATCTGTTTCGATATAGGTACAATTATGGGAGCCAAATGTACGTACACACATACACGTTCGGTTTCTCCGGAAAGACAATCAAATATGTGTATGAAAATCCCCCCGATCTCTTATTTTCTCGTTCGAGAAAGGAATCGACATTAAATCGCAATATATATTTCTTGACTCTTTTGAATCTAATAAAATTATTTGTGAATTTTATTAGCGATAATTTATTAACAATTAAATGTTAATTTGATTTTCCGCATTCACGGCAATTTAATAACGTAGTGAGGGTAAAGATTTTCGAACGAATTTTGTACGTGTTTCGGGGGATTCGCTTACGTAAAAAGTACGCATCCCCGAGTTCGTCAACGACGAACGGTTACACATGCACGCACGCACGCACGTCGAATATTTACACTACAAGCCGAAAACAATTCCCGACTTTTTTCGTCCGCGCGTCGCGCCCGGGACTCTATGCCAATTTACCAATGTAAACCGACGTATTTAAATTGGCCTCGGGCCCGAGCGCCCGGGAGAGAGTTTAAAAACGGTAGCCCCGTAATTTTTGTTCCGCCATCGTTCTGCAGCAAACGGCGATGATGCACCATCACCGGTGCATCGGCGAAATCGGCAAAATATCTCTTTTCGTTTGACGGGCTGCTGCCGATTTCGGTCCGGGTCTTTTGTGGCGGGCGCGCTTATTTCGTATCGGTATGAAAATCAATTATTTCGTTAATTCGTGCGTTACATTGGCTGTCACGGGGCCATCACTGTGAGCGACAGCGGCCCAAGGCGCTATTTTTCAATTCCCAATGTCGCCCCCGCCTTTCGCGGGAGAGTCCGCGGGAGTTCCCGTCTCGATTTGTCGTTCCCGCCGGCCTTATCCGCCATGCACTCTCTCGCTCGCGTTGTTGCGCGCTCACCACTTCGGAAGCTTTCCAAGTTATCTCGGATTGCGTCGTTTAGTTTGTCGTTCCTGCGGAGATTCGACACACAACGGTGTCTCTCCCTCTCTCTCTCTTTCTGTCTCTCCGAGCTTGATATGTTTTAGAAAAGAAAATTAAATTTTAACGTTAAAATTAAGTAACACCGAGTATCTGCTTCACATTATTAATTTTGTTTTTGCTACGTTCGCAAAAGATTTGCAATATTTAATAAACATTCGCGTGCAGAAATGATCGATAAAAAATGCGTTTCAATAAATTGATGTTGACTTTTGCCAAAACACACAGTCCTCTCGCGATTGATGGACTATTTTTCATTCTCGAAATGTTCAATGACGTTTGCACAGTAATTGACGACTGCAATACACGTCAGAGAATTTCACAAACAAAAGTTTACTTTTTAACATAAATTACTTTTATTTATATTTTGTGTGTATGTGCGCGGTAGAAATTTTTATAGGTTCTTTTTTTTTTTTTTTTTACTGTTGAAATGTAAATGTTTTCGTGCGATTTCACATTGTGTCACGTCTGCGTAGAGAGACGGAAAACCGAAAAACACAGAGTCGAGGTTTTGCGTAGATCGAGTGGTCAAGAGCAGTCGAAAAACGAAGAATTGCGATTCGAATCATTTAGATAGAAGCAACTTTATTGTAGTTTCTCACGGTATCCAATAACTGAACTTTTATTTGGTTGATGTAAAACTATACGTATATAAATAATAAAGATTTTAAAAATTACAGCATATATAAAAACAGAAATATTGTGATGTTTTGCAAAACAATATGGATATGCATGTTATCTACTTCACGCATTTGTATTAAATTTGAAAATTCGCGAATTGCGCGTGCTTTTTGATTTTTATTTCTTTTTTTTTTTTTTTTTTTTTTTTAAATCAAATTGTGTGTGTTCAGAGTTGGTTTTCGTGCGAAACACGCGTTCGTTCTAATGCATCTTTTTTTTTAATGTAACGTAATGTTTGTTCGTTCCATATGTAAAAGTTCCTTTAATTTGGTCGTTCCATATGTAAAAGTTGCTTTAATTGATTGCAATGCGTCTGACTGCTCCTAATTAACGTACAGCGCGAATAAAACACGGTACGGTTGATGCGTGATGTGAGTTCCAGTCTCTACATTCGTCGTTCCGCGAGTGTATAATTAATTACCAACATTTGGACATGCGCGTAACAGCAATGAAATTGCGACGGCAACAATTTGCAAGCGAGCGAGCGAACGAGAGAGAAAGAGAGAGAGAGAGAGAGAGAGGCGGACCAACCATATATTGACGATACATAACGTTGAAATTAATATCGTCTCATTTGTCAAAGTACGATACATCGTTCTTTGACCGTCTGCGACGGAAAGTACCTTTTAGGGGAGAGCGTGCCGAACAAACGCCGTACCCCAAAACGGGCCCTAAACGCTGTCACAACATATACCTACAGCGACAGGGCGTTCTATCGACGATGTGTTAAAAGCGGCGCGGTATTATATTAGCGTTGTTATGAATTAGCCATTTTTGTGTGGAGCGGCAGGTAGGCCGCCGCATTCCCATGATACGTTTTCGATTGTCAGGGAAGTGCGGGCATGTTTTTCGGGCCTTGTAAAAGTCGACGTGTGACGCAAATGTGCGCGCACATATTTATAACGAGCACAGGAAGAAGACGGTCATCAATTTTCTATCGACAGAAAAAAAAATCTAATCGAGGTAAGAAAATATTTCACACAAAATTGTGCGCAGAAGAATTGTGCGATAAACATTTTAAACGTTTTTCTTATTTATTGAAAATTTGGGGGTTTAAGTAGTTTTTTTTTATATACTTTTTATTATTAAATCAAACAAAATAACTGAAGAAACACTCGCGCGCGTTTTGGAAATGTGCAAACTGTAGATATATTATTTATTATTGAACTACTTTTGCGCGTAGAAATGAAATGGAGTAGAAGTTGAATTGTGTGAAATAGGCAGATGTGGTCTGTTTGCGGTTGGAAAAGCGAGAATAGATCCGGCCGAGAACGGTCGGCCGAGAGATTTTGAAGGAGGGTGGTGAGATCTTATCCCGTGTGTCTAATTGACTGATGCGCGTGGACGCTACCGTAAAGAATCTCCCGCGTGCATTTGGAATGCATTGCGGTCCGTTCAAAGTAGGGCCAAAAGGGTAACAGATCATCTCTCAAATGACGCTTATCGAATCGAGCGGTATTTAAATCGAATTAACAAAAGAACTCGGCGGAGAATCTCGTCTATTTACGTAAGATTGTTAATTTCTGCGTCGCATTAATTTTATCGCTTGTGGGACGCGACGAATGGAGGTCGTAATGTGAAACCCGAGCGATTATACGGTTAAACCATATATATATATACATATAAAATAAATGGAATGCAAAATCTTCCGAGTGTGAAAAGCGCCTTTAGAGGGTTAAAAAACGGAACGAAAGGGTTTGAGGAGGGAAAACTTCTCGATGGCGGAATTTCCAGCCATCGAAAAGCCGTTTCCCAATCTCCTTCTCTTTCGATCAACGAGCAATACGGCTATGATAACAAAAACATTAATAATAATAATAATACATCAAAACGCGCGCGATATACCAAGCGAGCCCTCGATGCGTGCATGGCGTGCTTGCGCGCGTTTAATTTGCATGGTATAAATCGTGTTTCCGGTCGAGCACGCAACGCAAACACGCGTTATCGTTTACGCCCTCGGTCCCTCCTCGGATCGACGACGAGAAAGAGAGCGTCGCTCTCTCGCGTCGCGTCGCGCATTGTGACCCCGCTAATTTATGATTCGATAAATAAATCAACGCCGTTTCGTTTTCCCCTTTCTTCCCTCCCCCTTGCCTCCTCCTTGCGATTTCATCCCTCGTGTGTTGTTGTTGCGTTGCTCGCTCTCGCGCACACTCGTAAGATGATTTCGGGGGGTCACGCCCAGTTAAACCATCACACACGGCTATACCCATCTCGTTCGGACTTTCCGAAGGGTAGCTCCTAACCCTGTTTACCACCCCGTCTTCCCATCCTTCGAGTTACTCTCATTCTCTCTCTTTTTTTCTTCTCTGCGTTCGTTTCAGAAGCAACGCAAAACGCCGGATGCGTTTTACGCGAGG